TTTTCCTCTAGCATTAAGTACTATATGATATCAATTTCAATAGTTCTTAAAACAAATTATTTTATTTATAATTTTTCAAATTGTTTATACTTAAAAGTATAACAATATAAAACATTTATCAGACCAATAACATATTCTCTCTTAAAGTAATAACTATAATTACAATTAGAAAAATTATGTATTATTTCATTCATATACATATGAATATCTTTGAAACAATTAAATACATTGCAAATTCATACAAAAAAAATTAGCAAAATCTGATTATTAATTCATAATTTTTTTTAAAAAGAGGATTGATATTAATTGTTCAATATTAATTTGTTAATAAAGACATAATATGAAATTATTGTGCATATATTGTTACAAGAAAACAGAATAATTATGTAGAAATATTAAAAATGATAAAATTGTCTATAATACTTTCACTCTGTTACTTTCATTTTATGTTAATAATCACTTTTATATATGTAATTTTGTTCAAAATTATATTTCAAAATCAACCTGAGTTATGACTGGTTATTTATTATGAATGATAAATATTATGAAATATTTAAAATACTTAAAAATATAAATGTCTAAAAGTGAAGATGAATGTGTTGATGAAAAATTCTTCAAGACTTATAATGACGAATACTTCTCATTATTCCACTCGTTTTAGGACTCTGTACATCAAGACTTTTAAAGCCCAGAAATATCAATATTTAGCAATTACATGGAGAACTATTACATCCAGAAAGCAGATATTTCTGCTTTGAAAAATAATTTTTAATACCATTTTAAACATTTTATTACAGTTCATCTGTCTCCATTTGCATCACTAGAATGTGTAGGATGTGGATCAACCTAAATAAATATATAATAAAAAGTTTATTAAAATTTTCTTGAAATTCAAAATGGAATGGATTATATAATGTTAAGTTTACTTAGTATAAAATATTCAGTATAGATTTAGTAAATATTTATTTAGAAGATTGTATTCAATTCATAATTGCAAAAACATTTTAAAATAATTTAGATATTAATGACTAAACAGATAAATGTTGAAAGTTAAAATCAAAATTGCAAAACAAGTTTTGTCCTACAATTTTAGTTCTAACTTTTCAAAATATGCTTAGAAATATAAGCCAACTTTGTTTAAATTTTGAAAATTTCATTTAGTTTAAGTACATATTATTGCACTTGTTTTATAAAAACAACAATTTCTGATTAATCACAAATATTTATTCTCAAAATGGAAATAGAATTCATTAACTCAATAAATAAAAATAGGAAGCATTACAGAACTTACAAAGCCATATAATGTTAAAAAATTAATTTTATAATGAATGTTTATGAAATTGATTTAATAAATATGACATCAAATCAATATTTGTTATATATTTAGTCTATTATGGCCAGATTATAGGACAAAACAAAATTAAAAATGAATACAAATTCCTTCAACACAAAATACAAAATTATTTAAATTACTTGATATTTTTCAATTTATAATTGAAAGTGAATTTTTAACTTTTCATTTTTCTATTACCAGAAATAGTAACAAATTTTTAAAATTATAAGTAAAACAAATTATGTTATATAATTAAAAGAAATAAAAGTTCAAATTAAAAAATAAATGATAAAATTTTAATAGTTCAATTCTTAATTTTATAATAAGATTATTAAGACACTTTTATTTAGATTTCACTTTCAATTCAGAATCTCTACATTAATGGTTATTTGAAGTCAATAAATTCTTATTATTTTTAGAAATTAAAAAAGAGAAAGAAAAAAAAAAAAAANATAGTCTGGCTTCTATGCTGTTCTAACAATACTGTGAGGGGGTGGATGAGAGAGCTTGCACACATGGCACCCAGGCTCAGGATGCTCTCAGATCACTAGCCTGAGAGGACTGCGGGTCCTCTGACAAGCAGTCCTCTCAGGCTTGCGATCATTGCCTGCCATTCAGACACAGGTGGTGCCATCATTACAGGCCCCCATATCTATCCATACCATTTTGAGGAGCCTGGGTGACAAACATTTGGAATCACAGCAGCCATTGACACTACCCACTGTCTCCTCTGTTTGGAGTGGTGTTAGTTCTGATGGGATTAGACTACAAAGGAATGGAACTGGGTCATCTACAGCAATGAATCCAGATTCAGTTTGACTGCTGACAATAGTTGCATTTGTGTCTGGAGGCTCTATTCATTTCAATCCTGCCTATGCTTTGAGATGGCACACTGCCCCCACAGCTGGAATGATGATCTGGGGTGCCATCACATGCAACAACCAGTCACCTCTAGTAATGATCCAATGGACCATGACAACCCAGTGGTATGTTAGTGACAACCTGCAGCCACATGTGTTGACTCTCATGGCAGGTAATTACTTTCCAATTATTAATAATTTGCTATTTCAAATGATTTTAAGGCTGCATTTTATGGCAAAAGTTGCTATGCTGATACATAATAGATATTATAATCATGTTTAATATATGGTTAGAAAAAACCATTTTCCAGCAAGACAATGCTCAACCACATACAGCAAGGTCATGTGCCTCCACCACATTGCAACACCTCCCTGACCTGCCTGGTTCCAATTTGTCACTGATCAAACATGTCTGGGATCACCTGGCACTAGTGTTTCCACCATGCTGGTTTTTAAATTCATTGTTCAGATTAATTATTAATTTGCCCACTTTTCATAGAAATTGTAAAATTATGATGAAACAAATTAAATTTATAAAAATATTTGCAAGTATTTTATTTTAACTTTAACTTCACACCCAAACATATCTCTAGACTAAGAGCGACAGAAAATGTACTTTTAAAATTCTAACTTGCAAATATCTCTGGCAAATATTAGGTTTGTTCTAATACAAGTCCCTAACTGCTTTAAAACTGCATGTGCATTGTTCAGTTCTTGGCTATAAAATGACATTGTGCATGCCTCATACTTTATATTATATATTGTATCAGATACACTATATCTTTTGTAACTTAATAATATTAATGCTGGTTTTTCTTTTTGCTCTTTCTGCCCTGTGGGCACTAAGAGGGCCTCTTTTTTAGCAAGCTCATTATGGGCACACAATGGGGCAGCCAGGTGGTGAGGGATGGGCTCGACATATCCAGATGGACCACCCCCGAAAATTCCTGGGGATTTCTTGATCCGTCTGAATTTGATCCCAGGTCCCCAGAGCGGTAGGTTGCCACCTTAGCCACTCAGCCATTTAATGTTGGTATGTGTTATTATTTATTATTCTTACTTTTACGTATTATTTTTGCAATTAATATCGACATTGGACTGTTATTAATTATTTTTGGATATGCCACATGTGATTATTGTATTACTTTAATAATATATCATGTACATGTTTACCTTCTAATAAAAAAAATATTTATTTTTTACTCACTGTGAAAAAACCTAATTTTTTTTATTTCTAAGTATAACATCCTAATTTTAAAATGTCCAGGTCAGCAATTTTGAAAAGTGGCAACACTGCCTGGCAAAACTAGGCTGGCACACCAAAGTTGGCCAGCCTAATTTGGCTAAACTAGACGACTACCTGCAGCAACTGTGGATAGAGATGCCACAGGACATCATACAACATCTGTATGCCTCCATGTCTGCTTGTATGACATCGTGTATTGACACTAGAGGTGGCCCAACAGGGTACTAGAACCTCCTTTCATTTGTAGTTTTTCCTGCAATAAATGATCCTTTTGCTTTCAGTTTGTTACTTATACCACTATTACACTCACACACGTACAATTTTGTTTGATTCTAACAACTCTTTCTTGGTGTGCTAATTTTTATGGCAATGATTGTATTTTCCAACAATTACTTGCAATTACTAGTAGAGAAACATTTTTCATTTTTTTCCAAACTGACTTAAGGTGTTTGAAATATAATTTAGCAATATATAGGTGTTTCATATTTTTCTTAATAGAACTAATCCAGTAACAGGAAAAATTTAACTCAGTTGATAACTTTCTTTTTATATAAAAACACAAAAACTGTCATTAGAGCAAGATGATCTACAATATTATTTTTACTATTTACTTCAAAAAAACTTTGAGAAAATTATTTAAAGACACTTTAAAAAATATAATACTGTAATACAGTATAATAATAAAACAAACATAAAAATTAAAGAAAACAATAAAAGGTTATGAATGTTGTGCATAATTTAGAAATATTTTTTCCTCATTATTTTGTGTACCAAAATAAAACATATAGTTTATATGTTTTCTGACTGTATCTTTTATAATAAATATTCTGTACAATTTTTTCTCACAGAATCATAAAAACTATATATATATAAAATTAGCATAAAAATGAAAAAATATATTTTTATTTCTACAAAACTGTAATAAACATATATTTTCTATTAATTCATTTAAGTTTATTACTACATTCTAAAGTAACAAACATAATAAAAATATTAAATTAATATTATATTTGATATTACTGCTACCAAATATATATATATAAATATACATAAATTTAATTATAGAAATCCTAGTTTCAGAGTAAGCAAATTCCACATAAAATCAGGATAAATCAAACACTAAGAAAAGTATAAGTCAATCTTTTAATTTCATTAAACATTTTTCAGAACTTCTTTGTCCCATCACTCACTAGACAAAAAAATTTCAAATCATAATCCAAATGAAAATATCCCAATATCCTTATATTTCTGTTGAGTGTTCTCAATGCTCAACAGAAATATAAGAATGTTCTCATTTGAACTTCAAATGAGAACATCCTTCAGCCCCACCTCGGCAATATATATGGATGAATAAATATAGAATGTCTTTTTTAATTTTTCTGCTTTTTTCAGAAAAATTTTGCCTTGCTATATAAAATTTGTGTAAAAAATAATTGAACAAAGTCTATACATGCAAATACTTACCAGGACAATAACCTTTCCTATCTGTTCTAGCATATAAAGTAATAGGTCCTGAAGTACAACACCAACAACATAGTGTTTTCTCAACACTATTCTCTACTGGCATCTAATAAAATATATCCATTAGTGCCTGAAATTTCTGGTAATTGAGGACTTATATTTCTATAATGAGGAGGTCGAGTTCGTAATGGAACAGTACCAATTACTACAGGAAGATCTACTGATAAATTATAGGCACCTGGGATTTGTAATGTAATCTAAAATATATGATTAAAATTAGATATTAAATAAAATGATATATGCATTTAATATAATTATAATATGAATTTAATTTATTAAGTATAACAATATCTTACCCGAACAGCATAATCAACACGAATAAGGCAGCAATTGATAATGGAGGGAGACACTGCTGGAATTTTTAATAACTGAGCATCCCAATTGGCTGTCCTGCCTGGTTGAATTGCTAAACCTGTTACAATTGTAAATTTGCACCGACGCGAACGTGACTTCCCTCCTGCTAAAAATGTTTGTGTCTGATGGAGTGTTGCATGTGGAATGATCGTTCTACTTGAATGATTTTCAAAATCAGCAGTTATAGCTATTGATTCACCTACAAATTTTAATATATGAATAATTAAAAATTATTAAATAATTTATAATAATACCTTCCTAATGTTTTGTTTATCTTTTCAATTGATATCCCTTTTAAAAGATTTTAGGTAAAATTTAAAAATAAGCTTTAAAAAGATTATCCTTTTTTTTTAAAGAAAAACTTAATTTTTTTAAAATTAGATATTTCATATAAAGAGATTTAATAATTTGTACGTTAGGAAATCATGTCAATAAAGTAACAAGTCTGTAGATCCAATGTGCAGAGAGCATATTGAGAAATACAGTTAGTAAGAAAGAATAAATTGGATAATGATGCTTTAATATATTAATTATATAATGTTGGCAGAAAATATTTTATTGATTTCAATTTTAGACATATTCAAATTTTTTTCTATGTTAAAATAATGGAATAAAGATAAATGATAATGAAAGTTTTTTTCGTTAATAAAATAATTGTATAATATATATTATAAAGGTTATCCCAAAAATGAAAAAGTAATGTAGTTTAAAACCATTTTATTTGTCAACTATATTTGCATTAAATTCTCTAGACTTAAAATTACTTCTGACTGTTTAACAGCATTCAATAGCTACAACAATATTAAAGCTGTTAGTTACATCAGTCACAGCTGTATTCAATATATCTAATATTGAAAAATATTGACTGAATTGGATTCTTCAGCTTAAAGAATAGGTCATAATTAGAGGATTGTAATTGAAGGTGAAGGCATTTTGCCCATTTGTAATTGCTCAAAACATCCTTTATAGACTATTACATGAGATCTTGCATTATCATGAAGATACCAGTTTCCAATAACTATGGTTTTTTTCTGGTAAATTTATGGTCATAATTGGTGCTGGACTAGTTTAAAGTACTGTGATGATGTATTTGCATTCCTTGTCCAGTTTTAGTGAGTAATTGCTTATAATGGTCATAATTTTTATGTAAAAGTGTTGCATAATAATCTATGTTTACTGAAACACCAATAAGAGCATTATCCATGGATATAATATCTTTATAATCATATGTCAATATGACAATTTCTTTGACTTGCTGTTGAAATTTTGAGAGATCTTGGAACATACTTGGAACACTCTGAAAGTTCTAATTTTCAAATTTGTTCTTTTTTCGCCTGAGGACGACGATATAATACTCGTCGAAAGTACTTGCGATATAAGAAAAATCATATTAGCGCTGAACTCAGTGCTTTTTATCAAGAAGTGAGAGAGATGAAGAAGTAGGATGTTTCCATTAACCCAACTGTCATTTCAATTCAAGTTTAAAGTAAGGTATCCACATTTTACTGAGGTATACAACTATGTAAAGTTTCTACTTTAATATAAGATCTTTGATCTAAAAATAACTTGACTTTAAGCACTGATCAACTGAAATCATTTCTAAGCAGACAAGGTAACTAAAATAATTCACATTTCAGTTAAAGTCATACTACCAATGTGCAAAACAAAAACAGTGTGTCTATGGGAAAAGAAACATATATAACATATATCATTTTTAGGATAACACCTCATACAAATTTATATTCATAGTAGAAAGTAACAGCCTTTATCATATTTTACGTAATGAATACAAAATGTTTTGTTAAAAGATTTTCATAACTTTTAGTCTATTGATTCATTCTTTTCTAAAACTATATCTTTTATAAAATAATATTCTGTATTCATCAATAAAAAATACTTCAAATATGTAGCATTCCAATGTAAATTTGATAAATAAATAATTTATCTATATCAGAGTTCATTTATTTAAGACATAAGCAAGGTCACTTGAAAAGTTGTCATGCTGCTCACTTATTGGTGAGTCAACAAGGCAGCTGTTTCAGACACTGAAAGCTGACATAATATTAGACAAATGTAAGCAAAAATTTGAATTGTTATCATTAGAAATTACCTATTAAAGAAATTTAGAAATACAAATATCAAAATAAATACACAAGCATCATTCTCATGCTTGTTTTGTGTGCTAAAATTTTTTCACAGCAGCCCTGGACTATTGAACATTCCATTAATATAAGCTATTCAATCTTCAAGGATACCATTAATATATTTATTAGCAATATCATTTTAGGAATCTACTTTACTTAAATTTTTTTTATCATAAAATTTATTTTTAACAACACAAATCTAAGTTTTTATTTCATTAATCAAAATTTTTAATGTACAAAAATATTGTGGTAATAAATTATTCAAATTNTATAAGAAACAATTTAAATTTATTAATTAAATTTTGTTACTATTCAGTATTTAAAAGTGTTTTTATTTAAAAATTAATAATGCTAAAAATTTTTATTAGATATATCAGTGATTCTCAACCACTGTGCTGCGGCACTTTAGTGTGCCGCAAGGTTTTTGAAGTGTGCCGCCACTGCGAATATCCACACACAAGTGATGTCAGACAAGTAGTTTAATCAGTTCTATCTTCCTGAAAATTGTAACCAGTGCTACTAGTAACTGCCGTTAGTTACCAAGGTGTTTAGAAAATGTGACCTAAATAACCAACTGTGTTTAAAAATCACTGTTATGACATCACCTGTTGTCGTGCGGTACTTAACAAAGTAACCGTGTGTGCCGCCAAATTTTTTAATTATTAAAAGTGTACCATGACGAGAAAAAGGTTGAGAATCACCGACATATAGCATAAAAATATAACTGTACATTTTAATATAAAAAATATAACAAAGATATAATAAAGGGAAATTTAATGCAAAAAAATTTTTTACCTATTGTTTAAAATATTCCAGAATACAAATGATCATTTTGTGTATCATTTTCTGTAAAATCATTTCTGATCATTGATCAGATTCTGTGTAAATATTATTTATTATTGAAAATAAATATTATTTACACTTCAGGTATTTTTGAAAATAAATACCTGAAGTGACTCAGTGGCTTGCTTATTGATAGACAAATATAGGTTAAATAATATATGTATATATAATAAATAATATTTGAACAGTTTTAAGTAATGTATATTATTTATCTGAATTAGGTGCTTTCAGGAAAAATAAGGAGTTTCTTACAAAAGCAAATGTTTTCTATTAATTTACAGGACTAATTTTTGATTTAATTCAAGTTATTCATTTTTGGTCTGTCTTTACTCTAAGACAAAAAAATATGTAATTAACCTAGTTATTACTACATAATAAAAAAAATATAATTTATTGAATACTTAGTTATAATCATCTTCAAATCTCACAATTTCATATATGGAGCTACAATAGCAAAGCCATGGAAACACAAGGAACATTTTCCTAATAGGCTAGTTGCTGATCGGAAAATCTGGTATCAAAATGTATGTAATTCACTCTGTCAATGCCATGAAACATGCATTATGGCTGGAAGTCACCCTTTTGAACAATTTCTGTAATTATCCATTATTAAAAATTCTTTTTCTTGAATCATTACTGTGTTTGAGCCTCAACATTTCACATTCAACCATGCATTCTATGATGAGAAATGTTTGTTTTGGCATGTTCTTCCACCCCTTAAAGTTTTGCCCATCTTTTTTGAATCACCTTATATCTATAAATAGTCTATTCTATAAGAAACAATTTAAATTTATTAATTAAATTTCAATGGTGTAGAATGATAGACCAAAATCTATTCTGACGTAAAAAATCACTTTTCTTGACAGAATCTTTTACAATAAGAAATGCACGTTTATAGAAATTGTCTGATTTCATCAGAATATTTTAATATTATCATGAAATAGTTTAAATGCATTTTTGTGTTGCTAACTAAATATAACTTTAATAATTATTTTTCTGTCATCACTGTTGATCTATAGTTATAGCTTTCTGTGAAACTTATTTTTTATCTATGTACATTTGACACATACAACCAATTAATTTGACCAAGGGGTTACTATGCTACTTAACGATTTGTTTTGTTAAGATAACCAGAAGATGAGAAGGATTACAAATGCTATAATAAAAGATATGGATAGATGAAAGTTGAATGATGTGTGAAAACATTCCTCCAGTAAAATTTACAAGTTTGATTTGTAGTACAGTATAACTAGATCTGCATACAATATTAAAGCATTCAATGTTTTTCTCTTACCAAATATTCTGTTCTATTTATATCAATTGGACTAATAACAGTAAAAGCTTTCTTAGTTTTATGGTTGAATGACCAAGGTTTCTCCATTTCAGCTTTTAACCAGTATCGAACACTTCCATACTTTCCTTCAAATGATGTTGAGATTCCCCTGTAATATATAAGTTAATATTAAAAATCTAATACAAATTACAGGTAATATCTGAATACTAATCTATATAAATTTTAAATTCAAAGAATTGACAATTCTAAATTTTGAAACAAAATCATAAGAATCCTTAGATGTACAAAACCAATTCAGTATGTTTTCAATAAAACATCTATTGGAGAAATTTGAAAAAAGAGGAAATAAATATTTTATTTTCAATGTGTGTGAAATAAAATGTTTTTAATGATATATAAATATTTTTTTAATCAATAAAATGTATATATATTTAAATTTCACATAAAACCAATTATTGTTATTGCAGAAATGACATCCTAACATAAATGTATATAATATGCAAACTTGAAATTCCTTATAACTTAAGTTCATTCATTTCAAATAAAACAATGCTTTAATATCATTAATACAGAATACATAATTAACGTTATGTACAAACAATATTAAACTAAAAATTACAGCCTTAATGCAAAGTTTTTGGTCTTTTTAACAGAACTTTTTCAAGCTTATGCATACAAGTGTTATATGAATACTGATAGTCATATTTATTCTGAACAGATTTATTAAATATTAGAAATATCTATTTATCAAATTATTTTTCTGTGTCTTATGATATCTCTTTTCTAAAAGTAATATTCAAGTTTAAGCATGATTATAAATTAAAGTAGTGGTCGAAAGTCCTATGCCAATAATCTAAAAATCATAAGGAGTATTATTGTCCTGAAAGATAAAAGTTTTGCAAACTCATAGTTTGGTAA